TCACACTCCACAATTCCCTCCTCATGTCTCACCTCAATCTCCCTCTTCCAGTTTTCATCCCTTCCCCCTTCCCCTCTCCCTCCCTGCCCTTGTCCCAAGTCCCTCCCCAGCTTTCCTGGAGCCCCTTCAGGCACTGGAAGGTGCTCTAAGGTCTCCCTGGAATAGTTTGGGTTGGAAAGGACCCTAAGGATCATCTAGATCCACCCCCCTGCATGGGCAGGGACACCTCCCACCAGCCCAGGCTGCTCCAAGCCCCATCCAACCTGCCCTTCAACACTGCCAGGGATGGGGCAGCCACAGCTTCCCTGGGCAGCCTGGGCCAGGCTCTCACCACCCTCACACTCCACAATTCCCTCCTCATCTCTCACCTCAGTCTCCAGGTTTCATCCCTTAGCAATGAGCACTGTCCGGGTACAACCTCTGGCTGCTGCAACAGGAAGGGAACGTATTTTGACCTGTGAAAATGAGAAAGGTGATCTGGGGTCATGCTACACCTTCTGAAAAGAAATTCCAGTCGTGGTGGCAACTGGTTAATTCTATAGAGAATCCAAATAGCAAGAACAACATATTTATTTTTTTTTTCCCCACACATGATCAACATCACCTTCCATTTACAGAGGCATTTATGGTGTTGTGCCCTGTGCATCCAGTCTGGGCCTTTAAGAACAAACCACAGCAATGACTGGAGAGCAGCTGATGCTTTGTATGGTAGAAGAACACAGATTTATTTGCAAAACAACCCTTTAAAGGGCTGAGAGGTCTGTTTAGATATTGAACAGCGTTTGGTGTTTTGAAACGTGCTGTGATGAATAACCTGACCCTGTTTTTTTTTGTATATATTGTATATATGTATGTTGAAGAGCTCTGTAAGCAGTTTAGCAACAGACAATGAGACAGGACAACTTGGATCCAGATCTGTTCGTTGGTTCACCTCTGTTTTAGGGTGTGACTTCAACTATACCACAGCCCTGCACCCAGAACCTGTGAGAAAACAACAACGTGCTGAGCAACACTGTATCTCCAGCCCCTGGGGAAAAGGACAAGACCTTGGTAAAAACTGGAACACAAACTGCTACAATGAATGGAAAAAGAAGGTCAGAGAACCCTGATTACAGAACAGATACATCATGTCCTGGAATGGGGCAGGAAGCAAGGAGAGCATCAGTGGTGGGTAAGCTTGTTTGTGTGGTTGCCAATGGCAACTGGGATTTTGAACTTGGACCCAGTTGTCCAAATTATGCTTAGTTTTGTTAATAGTTCAGTGTTTAAAAGGATGGTGCACAGGCCAGAAGGTGTCACAGTTAATCCTGCCCAAACTGTATCCATTACAATAGTTCAGTAAAATGTGAGGATTGATATTTATTATATCTGATTTAATCTGATGTCATTGTGACATAAATGAGGGATGCTTTTTATAGCATGGAGGCATGAGGTACCAGCATGAGCACTTCAGGAGGTAAAGGGATTAACTGCACAGGGTGGAGTGTAACAAGGAACCCTGCCTCAGTGTGTCTGCCTCAGTTTCCCTCTGGGATTCAGTTGCTCCCTGCCTGTGTTTTGCTCAGCCTGGAATTGGAGGGTTCCCACGGACAGGGCATCACGAGCTCTGAACTAGTAACAATCTTGAAAGTACAAATAGAAGGACAAGTTGAAGGAGGAAATTCTTTGCTGTGAGGGTGGTGAGAGCCTGGCCCAGGTTGCCCAGGGAAGCTGTGGCTGCCCCATCCCTGGGGGTGTTGAAGGGCAGGTTGGATGGGGCCTGGAGCAACCTGGTCCTTGTTCTAGAGTTCTAGTATAATTAATCATAAATAGATCTTGTATAATTAATAATAGTAAAGTTGCTAGCACTCAAACACTGTGTAATAGTTAATGATTATTCATTATCTGTGTATTCTGTTGTTAAGGTGCCTTATTGTTTTCTTACCCTGCTGCCCTGATATCCGACCATTTGGGTATGTGATTTGTACCTTTTTGTCCCATTTTTATGATCTTTTTTACCATTTTATAACAAATCTCAATTTTTTGGGTGCTTGTCTGCTCTCTTACTCCCCAAGGGCCCCTGTCTGTGTGGCAGAGAGCCCTGGGTGCTGTTTCTTCAGGCTACACACATGGCACAGCATTGTTCAGTGTCATCCTTGGGTAGGTCACTTCCTGATGGTGGATGTGGGGGTGCTGGGATCTCACCTGGCTCAGCAGTCATGCTGGAAACACTCCTGGCACCCGTTCCTCCTCCTCCCCTGACCTTGTAGCCCATGGTGGGCTCCAGATTGACTTTCTGGGCTGGGAGTGCTCATTGCCTGCTCGCGTTGAGCTTCTCGTACACCAACACCCCCAAGTCCTTCTCCTCAGCTTTCAATCCATTCACTGCCTGCTCTGTGTTTGTTCTTGGATCTGGTGTGCAGATGGATGGGAGGTGATTCTCCCACTCCAGTACATCCCTACCACGAGGGCTGATGCCACTGGCACCTCAACAGTGGGATTACAGTCAAAGCACCATCTTACTTCAACACCCACACCATTTAGCTCCATTAAATCCCTCACCAATTACACCCTGCCAGCCAACACTGACACCAACCACCACATCTGCTGCCCAGAAACACCCAGATGTGCTTCACTCACAGCACCTCCAACAAGACAAATTCCCACACCACAGAAAAAACATCTCCATCTACGATGGACAAAAATAAATGAGAACACAACTCCATGAGAACAGCACCATCTACAGACGTGACTTCCTTTAATCCTGCACAGGCCCCTGAGGGACCCCAGTGCCACAACAACTCACAGCTCTAACAAATTAAATAACTAACTAAA